CAGCAGTGATTGCCTCTACGCAACACGTTTCTTTTCAAAGTCTGGCTCTCTGGTTGGCATCACACTTGAACATTATAATACCAAAAAATAAAAATCATTGCTGACAAAACCTTCCCCCGTTTAAAAAGAGCTTTACATGAGAAAACATCTGTCACAGCCTAAAGAGGATTGAATCTTGTAGGCTACTGGCATTTTTCCACAATTGGCCTAGGAGAGATGTCTAAGAAGAACCCAAAACAACCATATTATTAATTATTAGAAAGAGAACAGCTGCTTGCAAAATTCAATAGCATTTTTTGTTTGTTCGTTTGACTTTTACAATCTCACAGGAATTCAAGTGTAATATTTGCGTATTGGTACTTTGCAAATTTTTCACTTAGTGCTGAGCATCGTTTTTAGCTTGACAGTGGAAATAGTCAATTAATATGCTCTAATTCTTTCAACTGAACATTTCAAAACGAAAATTGATATTGGTGGATTTTTGTTTAAGAAAGCATTCCGTCAGAATAAAAAAAACAATTGAGCACCTAGGGTTCTAGTCTGCTAACGATAGAACAGAAATGGTAGTATATTATCAGTTTGAGACATTGTAAGTCATTATAATAAGTAAGCACTGAGGTTTTTAACTGTACATGGCAATAGAAAAGTTAAATAACTTTGAACAGACACGTGTATATCATGAGTGAGGTCTCAGTATGCTTCATTAGTAGAGAAAACTAAATGAAAGCTTTCTGCTGAACAAGCATCCTTTGCTCAAGTGGAGCCCAACAGCTCTCTCACGCCACACAACCACATTTCTGCTTTCCTTCCACTATCACTCTAGGAGCAGACTTACAGTCCTTCTCATCACAAACCAATGATTTCCCTACTGATCCCGTGAACACAGACTTGGGTCAAAGGAAGAATTTGATTTGGTTGATTATTTTCATTTTTTTCTTACAGAAGTGAGGATTATGTAAATGAAACTGAGAGACCAGAGAAATGCTAAAATAAATAGGTTTGCTTGATGAAACACAAATTCAAGCAGATTCAATAAGTAAATAAGGGATTAATTTTTGTTACTCTGGAGATTAATCTTTTTAACGAGACATAAAAGTTAAAGAAAAAAACTTCCAAGGACTATAACATAAAATGAACAACAAATTCCAGTGCCAAATTCATCCAAACATAACCTCAGAGGAGTAATTCGACGTCTTGGTTTGATCACTTTTTTTTCCCACTGTCTAATTTCTCATTAAAAGTTCACAACAAAATCAAAAAAGAACTGCCATTATTTTTTTGTTTGTTTCTTTTTCTCCCTACTTTTAAGAAGTCAGTGTTATTACCTGACTGCCTAAAAGAAGTACAGCCAGAAATTACATCAAAGAGAGAAAGGGACCAGAAGGGCAACATGAAATGAATGCCACAGGGTATAGTTCCTCAATTATCCACTCTTCCATCACTTTTATATTCCAAAGAAGGCCTTTCTTTTTTCATTAATATAGTTTTAAATAGCATCATAAAGTAATTGGCTACATGGGATTACTATACATCTTATTTCTTTAGAAATATATTTTTCTATAGTGGCCTTTGAGGCTCACTAATTCCTAAGTTGAAAGCAGCTGATATCGCTCCCTTACTGTGGATCATAAAGGAGAATTTCAGATTTGCTTGGCACAAAGCCATGTCATTTGGTTTCTCCCGTGGAATCAGCACTAATGATGATAAGATCAAGGTAACCAAGGAACCTTCCTTTGTGACCACAACTTGAACATGCGGAGACAAGATGGAAGGAAGTAAGCTGTGCTTTTGAATATGTCAGGGCAGACATAAAGAACATTGTCCATGCTGTCACAGAGCAGTGTGAAATCTTCCTGCAGTGCAAGGGACTCAAGAAGGTCCTGGATCAATGTCTATAGACCGCAAATGCAACTTTCGTTAATAAGATGTTAAAAATAGCCAGATTGATCCTTTTCATAAAGGCTAAGGAGAACGAACAAAGTTCAGAATCAAAAATAAGTCTGCACTGGTGTTTTGTACTACATTAAAACCTGTATTTCCAGCAGAGCACGCTATAGCAGATAGTGTAGTTCAGTGTAAACATACACCTCAGCCAGCTGCATTCCCACTGAAAAACTCTGGAGCTCATTTGCATTCCAGTTCAGAAGAAAATGCCTGTATTTCCTGCAGCAAGCAATACTGGAGGAAGTATGGTCTTAACAAGAAGGCTGACTTCTTTCAGCCTGAAGGATGCTCCAGGACCAGCACAGATGGTCCAAAGCTTTTTCACATAGAGCCTGGGCAGCCTAATGCAATGCAGTAAAACCTGAAGGGAACCATTCTTCAATACACGATGGAAACAAGATGGCATTTTGATGGGCAGGCAGCTCATGACCGTATGCTAGCTAGCCACAAAATACCCACAGGATTATGCTGCAGACAAATGGAACTGTTCAGACCAGAACAGGGTGACTATCTACTCTGCTCAGAAAGAAAAAAGACTCCAGATAACTCAAGAACATTTTCTTAAAGGTAATTTTAGTGACTAAGATAAATCCTGTGTTCTCTTGGATAGATTCTTTAGACAGTCTTGTGTCAGCGTAAATGTGAACAATTTAGAGAGCCTGGCAATCTTATCCTTGAAAGATAATTCAGCAATTTAAGTTAAGTAGATGCATTAAAACAAACCAAACAGGCATGCCAATTTAGCCAACCCTTTTAAAGAAAAAAAGGATTAGGTCTCCTCTTTTTTTAATAGTAGTCTTCCAAGTCAAAGAACAGTTTACATTAAAAGTTAATTATTATTCTGCTGAAACTAATCAAACAACTTGGGAACTTGCAAAGGTTTATTCATGTTTTTATCTGCATTCTGTTGAGTGGTCCCAATGATTTAAGGGTAATTACTCATATTAGAGGAGTCATACAGATCACATTCATGTTTTAATTGCACCTAGTGTACATTTGCTAAAATACACACTGACAGATAAGATTCATCTCCACATGAAAAAAAAAAAATCAATTATGTTGCAGAAGCAAGAGAGGTAAAAATCAAACAAGAAGGAACTTTAGGAGATGCTTTCCCAATCCCTAATTTATTACTACAAAAAAAGATATATGTATTTGCCCATAAGACAGCATGGAAATGGCTCTTTAATCGTACTCTATCCCTAAATCACATAATTTTACTCCATAGGAAAACAGTGTTATCAAAAGATCTGGAGCTACTGCCTGCCCTTGCAGGAAGGTGGGCTCCCCCATAGTTTAGAAAGTATTTTTCATCTCTAGCACTGGTGATCATGATTTCCAAACATGGTTCATAGTAAGTTACATGCAGCCAGTACAAAAATTCCTGTAAACAGGAAGAAATACAGTCAGCAGAGTGACAGCTAGTCTATAAGAATATGACAGTATTTTCAATTCCTGTATCAGGACAGTTAACAGGACAGTACACAGCACTTGTACACACATCAGTAATTAGACATATATGAGAATTCACAAATGAAAATCCTTGTTTACAGATGCATTTTTCCTGCCTTCCTCCTGACACTGCATCCAACTTGTACTTATAATACTCTTTTAAAACCAGATGACATTAGCTCAACACTACCACATGCTGAACTAAGGAACTTTTACAAGATTTTAATCTGTCCATAAAAGTCTTAGTCAACACAACAAATCCTCAAATACCCCAAAAATCATTTCTAAAGGATTTATGGGGCTTTTGTGGTCAAGCTGTCAATTTGATTATTTTTTAATATTTCAAAAGCACAGCCATAACGATTTCCAATTCTCATTCTGAAGTAAATACCTTCACATGCTCATAAAACCTTGACTTTGTTTGATGTAGACTTACAGAGTACATGTATACTTCTGGGAAGCAAGGTGAGCAGCAAAGCTCATCTAGCTAACCTGATTCTGCTTTGTCCAGATCAGAGAACTTACAAAATGCCCAATACAAGTAGATTTCCTTCTAAATTACATGTAGTGGTACAGGACACACCTTGCCCCTTTCCAGCAGTGCAGGGATGTGACCAGCATGCCCAGAGCTATGAAAAGCCCTTGAGACTGCAATTCCTAAATTAATAGAAGCAGCAGAGAACCGTATGAAGAGGAATGAAATACCACTTTTTGGTTGAAAAGCCAATTTAACTAACAGTGAGACTTCACCAGGACTCCAGTTACACTTCTGATCTACAATATGTTTCTGTTTAATTTTAATTAATTGATTTTTTAAAGTCTTATTCAAACATTAATCTGCTTTGAAATCTACCATGTTTTTCCTGACCTATAACAGGAGTCTCCAGCATCAGGATCTGGAAATTGTGCTGATACTCTACTTAACCACTGCAGTTTAAGCCATCTTGCTCAAAACTTAAGCCTCCAAGCAGACTGTGTTCTTCAGGAGCTCAGATAGATACATCTTTCTCACCTTATATACATATACATATACTTTATATATTTCTGAATACCTATAAGTAGTACTGTTAATCTTTTTCACCAGGAAAGACTGGACAACCGTTCCCCATAGCTACACTCTTCCTGATTCATGAAAGGATACACAAGGAGTGTATTCCTTTTACCCTCAATACGTGATGTGGCAACATCACATCCATTATCAGTTATCAGTGCCATTTTTATATTTTCTGTCTTAGCCATAGTGATTCACTTTAAGGTCTTATGATGCAGTTTGGAAGTTCACATGCAGCTTTCCTAAAGGGACAGGGGGTGTCACCTGAAAACAATCCTTATTTCTGTGTGGTTTGTGACACCAATTAGAGAAGAAATGGGATCTTGAAAAAACAAAATTGGTCCATGGCTGCTATTAAAACTGAGATTAGTTTGGAAATCTAATGATCTACCACTGTCCTTAGGCAATTAAAACTGCCTTGATGTCCCCATTAAGCTTCCCGTTCTCTTTAGGGGAGAAACAACAATTGCTTATTGAAAATACATATCTTCTCTGCAAGAAAGTAAAAATAAATCTGAACTGGGAGAAAAACTGTGTTTGTCCTTATTCTTACCTTCCCTGCATGGGGACTTGAGTGAAATCCTTCCCCAGAGCAACGCAGCCATCCTCTTCAATTGCTGCTTTTTCACAGGGGGTGTGTGGCTCTCCAAGACTCGTTACCATGCCATGATACTCTTTTAAGAGCCACAGCTCATTGCAACTTCTGGTCCCCGGTTTGGTTGCCACTCTTGCAGATAAACTGGTTTGATGTGAAGGGGTCTGATTCAGCTCCATTTCTTGTCTAGAAACCACACTGTCATCCTTGTTATCCAAGTACATCTGTTCCTGGGGGCAGTTCTCCTAAAGAAAGCAAAAACAAATATATTAGGACTAAACTGAATTGACTCAGTATTTACTCCAATATAAGTATGTTAAAAATGCCAACCAGTAGATTTATTATTTTTTTTCTTTCACCTTTAGCTATTTCCCTTGTAGATTTATTTCAACCAGGAATAATTCCAACATTTTAAACCTCTTTGCAACTTCAAAATTAGCCATTATAGAGAGCATAGACACATGTAAAGAGACCTTTTCCATGTCTGTCATAATTTTCTCCCACAAATTCACCCAGAACTTGCACTCTCCTGTCCCACACAATGAGCCAGAATCACCTCCGGATCAATGAGGACAGGCATTGAGTCTATACTTAACAAGAAACAAACAGCCACAGCACTATCAGCAAGCTTTGTACTAATAAAGTAAAAACTAAAACACCAATCCTTTTACATCTGTGTAAATGGAAATCCAGCTAATGCCAGGAAGAATTATCTCTGATTTACAGACCTCTTAGCACTAGGAAAGTGGGAACCAAATTTTGGCCAATCTGTTAAGACCCAAGCTCCTGCTGGATGCAGCCTAGTTACTGGCCTGCTGTCCGCCACCTGACACCCAGAAACAGGCCTGGGACCTATTCAGAGGCCCCAGGCTCAGAAAATCTCCCATTGCATAACATCTTCTGGGGTTGTCATAACAGCGTTTCACCAACTCAACCAGCTCCTCCCCTGCCCACAGCAGTGATCCTGCACTGTCTTCCCAGCCTACAGAAAGCCACTGCTGCTCTGAAGTGGTACCACAGCCAGCAGCTCCTTGTTAAGCAGATGGGATACTTGAGGTTTACGGAGACAGCATTCCATTTTACCAGCTGCCAATGGCACTTAGGAAATGTGAATACAACCTTGCTGAAAATTAGGTTCTATTATATGATTATTAAAAATGATTATAATAAAACTTCGTGCATAACAGTCGAAAAGCTTTTATACTCTAATCATTACAATTCAGTGTGAAAAGTTACAAAGAAAAGCACTTCAGAATATCACAAAGTGCCCAAATCAGACACAGAGACCGCATTAGAGAGCAGCCCTTCTTGAACACACGCTGAGGGATGTAATTATGGGCCTGTTCGACTGCAAAGTGACAAAGTCACCACTGAGGACAGCAACAGCCCGGTACACAGGTCTGTCAGCTTCATGCATCCCCACAGGAAGGGAGCACAGCCATTCTGGAGCCTGTCTCCGCTCCTTCCTCTGGAGACCTCAGCAAAGGACAGGAAGATAGAAGCACTGAGCCATGGGGCAGAAACAACACCATTCCAGGGAACAGGCTCAGCAGGAGAAATCACTGCATATGGAAATAACAAAAAGCTAATCATGGATTTGTGCAGCTTTAGGCTGTCCTGGTCATACAGACTAAAATGTGACAGAGACTCCTGAAAGGAAAGGCCAAAATACATACCATTAGAAACATAGATCTCAGCTACAAGCAAAGGCAGGCTTGCAAACCAAATCTTAATAAGAATTTCCCCAGGTGGCATTTCTTTCTCTAGCACTGCATTTCTTTGTTTTTCTACTCCCAGCATCCTTAGCTTTCACATAATAATCTTCTGCATCTGTCCTGATAGGTAGTTTGACTAATTTGACTCTTCCCTTCATTAGCATCAACACAAATAAGCCTTTGATTGTACTTGGTTTTCCTCTAGTTGTTGTTACATCTGTCACTCAGTATAAAGAGCACAAGTATGGCTGGTGTAGTACCAGATGCACCACCACTGAGCTGATCTGGGGCATCTCCACAGTCTAGAAAACACTGAGTTTTGGTGATCCAAGACATAGTCTTGAGTGAGAGGCTTGGAGAGCTACACTTTTTTGCATTGTACCTTGAGACCAATGGCTGGCAGTACCGGGAGAACCAACTCACAGCTTGTAGAGGCCAACACCAGCCACCAACACCCTTATGCCACCTCTGGTAGCCTGTGGCTCTACCAGTTGCAGCCCACGCTAAAATCCCAAGCTGCCTTTCACTCTAACAGATAACTGTTAGATAACTTTGGAATGCAAGTACTTCCAACCGCAAATGGAAAAGACAATTTCTCATCTTCATTCTTACTTAATGGAATTATGTACTGGTTTTATCAAGACACTCTGTAAGTCAAAACTAAGATATCTGCTCACTCGTTACATTTTTTCATAACATTTGGTTTGTCTGAACACCTGCTGTGAAAATACACAGGCTTTAAAGTGATGTCAGGCTGTAGAAACATGAGCTTCAGCTGTACTAGCTTTTTTAAGATGAGAACATGAACACAAACTCTATAATCGATCATGCCTCACCCTAAAAGTGTGAAATAGATATATCCTGAGGTGAGTAAGGACTAAATCAGTTAGGCTCTTATAAGTACAGAACCTTAACATGAAAGACATTTATTTTAAGAATTAACATCAGTGAAAAATAAAAGGACAAGAAGCTTGAAAGAAAATCTGATGCCTGAATACAAAATCATAAACCACAGTACTGCACATTCAAAAAAGCTTTGCAAAAAAACAAAATAATACAGCATCATTTTGCCACTAGAGACAGGTTTGATTGTGATTACCTACGTAGCTAAACATTGCTAAGGCAACTATCACCATGGTATCTAAGCTTCTGAAGCATCAGTGCATTTACCATTCAAGAAATTCTCAAATGATTACATTTCCCTGTAGTTACAGAACTTTTCTCCTTTTTTTTTTCCTTCATTTTTCTTATTTACAGTGTCACCATCAGCAAGGAGACACAGGTGAGATGTTATCATGAGAAGGTGAGGAGATATTTTGACCAAGGAAAGTTCATTTTGTGTTCATCTGTCTGGAGCCATGTACTACCAAAGGTTTTATAGCCACAGCTAGAAACTGTTATCTAGGGTTTGACTGTGAAAGGGTTAATACAATATTTAAGCAATATTTGTTATCCCTTTTCATCCCTTTCATCCCAGCCCAAGCAGTTGAACATCTGTTTTTAGAATACTGGCAAATAATTTGTTTTTTCTTTAAGTTTTCAGTTGCTAATAAGATGAACAGGTTATCTAAAATGTTTTATATAAGAGACTTTGTGTAACCTGCTTTTAGTTGCAAAACAAAATGCTAGTGGCAAATGATGTAGCTAGTAATATATCATCATTTAAACCATTATATTCCTGAGAATCAATAATCACAGCATAGCATCTCTGAAAACAAAAATGAAGTAGAATTTAATCTTAGAGCCCATGAGGCTACAAAATATGACATCTTGAGATAATATAAGCAGTATATTTTCTGTCTTGCATATCTCATCATGTTTCAAGGCCTTTCTCCCACTAAGACTAGAAAATACATTAAAAAATATTACCTTTACACTTAGCCACCTCTGCATTACCAAACAGAAACCCAAGTTTAAGAAAATAACTACTGGGAGAAGAACTGTGTGATGCTGCTAACATGGTATACCCCTAGCCTTTTTTTCAACAACATTTACATTCATCCCCCACTGTTCACGTCTGCTGGGAAGCATTTCACCCAAGAGTAATTAAAGCCAAATCTTGTCCACCTGAGAAGGCTCTCTGCATCATCTGAGTCTAAATAAACTTCTATCCTACTGACTCCTCTTTCAGCCTGCCCCTGTACAAAGAGCACTGCAGAGGCCAGAGGGACTGCTGAGAGGAAGCTCATGCACTGCTTACACTGAGAGTTCCCACAGGCAGATGCACCACCAAGGCACGTTTCTGTGTATGTATTTCCCTCCAGGTATACATTTCATGACTGCTTCCCCACAAGTCAGACAAGTGATACTGTATTGGCTGCCTGAGGTAAACACACCAAAAAATTGTCTCAGCAGCAAGGAGGACAAGAGCTGCTCTTAGCCTGTGGCCACAGAAACAGATCAGAACGTCAGCATTAAACCTCAGAAATCTTCCTGTAGCAGGTTGATCCCTGCAGATCTATTGCCATGCATATCCCTGGCCAAGAACTCAGGAAAACTCATCCCTAGAGCTGCAGCCTATAAAACAGACACCACACACACAAACTCCCGCATAAGGACTGCCGAAACACGTTTATTTATATTTATTTAAATTGAGGAAAGGTGCTGGTGTGTCTAACACTGCAATTTGCAAGCAAGAATTCTCAGTGTTTCTAAATTCGTAGGTTTTCTCTTATAAATAGAAAATGTTTCTAACTGTAGGAAGTAAGATACTGGTTTGGGCATACAGGGTGTAACATCTTACTTTGACATCCATTATTTGACAATATATTCCAGTGATGTTTTCTCTAAAAACCCTGCCTCTCCTACACATGGGATCCTTGTTATCCCATAAAGTAATGCTATGGGCTGCACAGAATAATGCTGCATGGAGCACCCTCCTTTGCACAACCAAGTGGGAAGATTAAAGTGCAGGGCAGGCCACGACAGAATGTGGTTTCTTTCCTTTCCATGTTTTTGGGCTCTTCTTTTTTTTCTGGCCATCAGTAGCAGGAGGGGAATTGTGTGGTTAAACTGTTATCAGCATGACCTCTTAGAGCCAGCATTATGCTCCAGCTGCAAAAACAAGACTGCCTGAGACTTGTATCTAAGACATCTAAGTAAGCTTCCCTATTTGCATTCACCATGAATTCTTGGCCCAAGGTATGGGCTTGGGCTATTTTAGCAAGTGGAAGTGGGATGATGTGCTGTAAGAAGCTCTCTCTCCAATAGGGCCTGACCAAGAAGAAATTGTTTCAAATTATTATCAGGTGAGCTGTTCCAGCTGGTTGCTTCCAGACAGGACAAATCACTACAGCCCAGCTACCTTATATTCTCTCCCATCAGCTTGTAAAGTGTTTAAAATATCACTGTTACACACTAGCAGAATTTCACAGTTTACAGTAAGTTGCTGCATACCCTTAGTCAGGAGGAGCGTGTCTGCCTGAGAGTGCTGTACTTTCCTGACCCAAGCACTGAACGGCCAGATCTGCTAGAGCTGAGGCAGCACAGAGTCATTTGCTGTGGCCTTGCATTTTATATTGGCAATCAGG